ACATCTGCCTTCCCAGCTGCCTGTCTGCAAACAGCACTACTCCACGCTCTCAGTCTCAGGTGCACTCATGAGTGGAAGTGCAGTGAGACTCACAGCAAGCACAAAGTAAGTACATGACATCAGTGACTGACAGCCCCAAGAAGCCTCCACTTTCCATTGAACCTGACTTGTTTTTCATGTTGAAAGAAGATAGCGGTGTGACCGAGGAACCCTCACATAGCCTTTCTTATGTTACTGCCTATATATTAGCTAATCACTGTGCTGAAAATAACAGAAGCAAAGGGGAAGAGGCAGACCTAGAATTGCCTTACCTTCTTCCTCACCCAGCAATAAGCCAAGGGTAGAAAGTGTTGGTAGAATATGCACATATCAAGAAATGGAGTAAAAACAATTGATTATTTTTAAATTTTTTGCAATGTTTTCACTGTTCTGATAAGACGCAGATGTTATTTTATGGGCATATAATCTATGAAATATGAATTGTCTAATTTTGGTAATTTCACATATTAATTCAATGCTGTATGTTTGTGGGGACAATTGGCATTGAAAAATATAAACAGTAAAATTCATGCTAATAATTTAAAATTTTTTCCTTACTTAGAGTAACATTAAATAGAAAAAAAAAAAGCATCTGACAAGTTAAGGAGGAGACCATGGAAGAAAGGAAAAAGTTTTATGTTTTAGTAGTTTAATGACACTTTTTCCTTTGCTTTTTGAACAAGGGATCTTGCATTTCATTCTGCACTAGGCCCCACAAATATATAGCTGGTTTTGTATCTAGCTCTGCTCTCTTTTCTGTGGTCTCTGGGTCACTTCCATGAGAGACCTTTGGCTTCTTGAATAGACGTATTTTCAGAGAAGGCCCTGTGCGAAAGAGCTGCCTACATTTTGTAATGGAAACTCTCATTTTTAACTGGCAAGTTAGTAGAAACCAATTGGTCTGAGGCTTTCCCCTTGTTCCTCCAGCTTATGTAAATGCTTGAGGTATTATTTTTCCATGCATCTGGGAAGTCCGATGACCTAACATATTTGCGTAAACATAAGCCATATATTCATCTTGAACTTCCTCTTTCTGTGCCCTCTGGGTGGCATTTGAGTGGAGTCTCTTTTTACATCTTATCTCCAGTTCACACTGAGCCTTGGAGATCTTACTAGATATGACAAGCGAGAATCTGGGATGGGCAGATGGTGTGTATAGGGGAGTCATGAGGTGTGCGAGCCGGGAAGGATCAGAGGGATTATATAGGTAAACTTTCTACCTTGACTCAAGAGTAAAGGCAAAAACTTGTAAAAAGCAAAATGCTTTAAAAAAAAAAAAATAGGCCACAAAATGATGGCTTGGAGGCGGGGAAAGCTGACATGAATCTGAAAGTTTCTAGACATTGTTTTGGGAGCAGCTTTGGAATATTAAATCCTGGTGCACAACAGGCTAAATTAAGTGAGTGGCAGTATGGCCAAAGAGCTTTCAGTTGATGCTTCAGTCTTTCCCTATTTATGGCACCATCATTCCTCTGGTTGCCAAGGCCAAATTCCTGACAATCAGACCTGACTCCCCCCTTCACCTCCAACCAATCACTGCTTTTACTGCATTTCCTCCAAAACAAATTTCCATTCCTTCACTCTAACATATCTGTGGCCCTGGCCCTCGATGACAGTCATAGCACCCAGCTAACCACCCTCCGTGTTACCTTCTACATGACCACCAGAGGATCTGCCTGGTGGACAAATCTGAATATGTCGCTGAGTTAAAGACTTCACTGGCTGTCTGTGTAGTCATGAAATGAAACTCAGATTATGGCACCGAAGCCTGCAGAGATCTCACCCTCTTTGGACTGATTTGATTTTCCAGTAAAGAAGAGAATTTTATTCTGCAAATATATTAAACTGCTTGTAATTT